CGTCGCCTTGCTTAGCCCACCAATCTCATTGCCTTCGTCCACAACAACTACATCAGGCTTTTGTGCAGAATATCTGTTGTCTGTGGAACACCTCCGTCTCCAGTCGACTCGACCAGACCGTGCTCATCACACTGTCCAACGCTGTAGTCAACTTCACACCACCAATCCACACAGTCACCTTCCTCAGACTGACGCTGTTCCACACACCTGAACATTGAGATGTGTAACTGTACGGACACTCTGAGCAATTGTCCATTGTAGACAGTCGGTCTGAACTGCATTGACAATTGGACGACAGCATGTCTGACGATAGTTGCCACCGACGTCGGATGGTTGACAGACGAAACGATGTTGTCTGTTTAGCTCGTATCGGAATGTCACAACATCCTGCATGTTGTGGGTCACACCCACAAGGAAATCCACGTCAAGCGACCTGACATCCATCGAGTTAACCAGTCGGACAGACCAGCTGGCAATATCTGATGCCGCACAATCGTAAATAGGTCGACACAAAATCACTGTTCATTCGTCAAGTCAACCAATCCACTCAACTGATACACCCATCGAATTCTAATCCCAGTTCATCACACACCCTTCTATTTCGGTGTCTATTCCTGTTCCATGTGAACCGGCTAATTCGTATGCGCGCAAACACGAACACACACAAACACATACATTAGTACTATACACACACACGTATTCGTTTCCATTCTCACTGTCTCCTGCATTAATATCGACTAGCGACTCCATGTACTCTGCAATCAACAAAACACCTGAACACAATTCGGAAGATATCAACAAATGTGGATGAGTGTGGCTCTAACAGGTGAGATTGTTTCTCTCAGGCAATTCAAAACACTCTCTCTCACTCATCACATCCAGTCCACAAACGAGATGGCTAAATATTCTAACCGAATATATTCAGTGCAGACCTGTAGCTCCATCCTTCACGAACACTTGTCTGACTGGTGCGGTCGACCAGTGGAGTTTTGTGTTGGACGAGGTTGACGCGAGTTGTGACGGTCGAATATTGGAGAGTAGTGAACAGGTGACGGGTTGATCAGACACCGATTGGGTCACTGTGCTGAGTCGCGAGTGTCGGCCAGACTGGATATATTTCATATTTGGTGTCTAGAACTCGTGTATCACCTGGAGTGGCGTATATGAATGTATGTATATATATATATATGTGTGTGTGTGTGTTTGCATTTGGCATGTGGTACGTATGCCTGAATGTGTGTTGGTGTGTCATCCTGTGTGTGAATGCGTGTGTGCGTTTGAATGTGTATGTGTACGTGCATTTGTATGCCTATGTGTATGTTAATGAGTGTATGGGTGTCAGTGTGAGCGTGCGTGCGTCCGAGTGTGTGTGTGTGAGAGAGAGAGAGAGAGTTGGTGTGTTCAATGCAGTGTATGAATGAGGAGGTGTGATGCGAATCTGTGGTTGTTGATTAAATATGGCAAGAATGTGATGGTGGTGAGGATGCGTCTGTTGCTTGTCAGGACGACGATGTGTCTGTCCGATGGGGGCGAGAGAGAAGAGTGTTTGGTTCATGTGTCTGCTGTTGAGTGTCAGTGTTTTGAGTAGACTGTGAGTGGCTATTTGATGTTGTTGGTGTATTGGAGTAGTGTGTGATGCGATGCTAAGTGGGGCGAATCCAGGCCTCGTGGTGTAGCGGTTAGCACTCTGGACTCTGAATCCAGCGACCCGAGTTCGAGTCTCGGCGAGGCCTCGAGCTAAGCACTTTTAATCTCCACTACACAACACCACAACACACCGACCTCTCATCAACACAAAACAAATCTCCACACATCAATTTCCACATCAAACATGCACACATCAACCGTCAAACAACACCTCTATGCCCCTTGCCCACATGCAACTGTGTCGATGAATGCAGCCGACAAACTACCTCAACCAAGCCCGTCGCACATTCACCTTGTACTGACAACTGGACATTATTGGAGACAATCTAGTCGAACGAACAGTCAGTTCGATGCGTCGCCTTGCTTAGCCCACCAATCTCATTGCCTTCGTCCACAACAACTACATCAGGCTTTTGTGCAGAATATCTGTTGTCTGTGGAACACCTCCGTCTCCAGTCGACTCGACCAGACCGTGCTCATCACACTGTCCAACGCTGTAGTCAACTTCACACCACCAATCCACACAGTCGCCTTCCTCAGACTGACGCTGTTCCACACACCTGAACATTGAGATGTGTAACTGTACGGACACTCTGAGCAATTGTCCATTGTAGACAGTCGGTCTGAACTGCATTGACAATTGGACGACAGCATGTCTGACGATAGTTGCCACCGACGTCGGATGGTTGACAGACGAAACGATGTTGTCTGTTTAGCTCGCATCGGAATGTCACAACATCCTGCATGTTGTGGGTCACACCCACAAGGAAATCCACGTCAAGCGACCTGACATCCATCGAGTTAACCAGTCGGACAGACCAGCTGGCAATATCTGATGCCGCACAATCGTAAATAGGTCGACACAAAATCACTGTTCATTCGTCAAGTCAACCAATCCACTCAACTGATACACCCATCGAATTCTAATCCCAGTTCATCACACACCCTTCTATTTCGGTGTCTATTCCTGTTCCATGTGAACCGGCTAATTCGTATGCGCGCAAACACGAACACACACAAACACATACATTAGTACTATACACACACACGTATTCGTTTCGATTCTCACTGTCTCCTGCATTAATATCGACTAGCAACTCCAGTGTACTCTGCAATCAACAAAACACCTGAACACAATTCGGAAGATATCAACAAATGTGGATGAGTGTGACTCTAACAGGTGAGATTGTTTCTCTCAGGCAATTCAAAACACTCTCACTCATCACATCCAGTCCACAAACGAGATGGCTAAATATTCTAACCGAATATATTCAGTACAGACCTGTAGCTCTATCCTTCACGAACACTTGTCTGACTGGTGCGGTCGACCAGTGGAGTTTTGTGTTGGACGAGGTTGACGCGAGTTGTGAGGGTCGAATATTGGAGAGTAGTGAACAGGTGACGGGTTGATCAGACACCGATTGGGTCACTGTGCTGAGTCGCGAGTGTCGGCCAGACTGGATATATTTCATATTTGGTGTCTAGAACTCGTGTATCACCTGGAGTGGCGTATATGAATGTATGTATATATATATGTGTGTGTGTGTGTGTGTTTGCATTTGGCATGTGGTACGTATGCCTGAATGTGTGTTGGTGTGTCATCCTGTGTGTGAATGCGTGTGTGCGTTTGAATGTGTATGTGTACGTGCATTTGTATGCCTATGTGTATGTTAATGAGTGTATGGGTGTCAGTGTGAGCGTGCGTGCGTCCGAGTGTGTGTGTGTGAGAGAGAGAGAGAGTTGGTGTGTTCAATGCAGTGTATGAATGAGGAGGTGTGATGCGAATCTGTGGTTGTTGATTAAATATGGCAAGAATGTGATGGTGGTGAGGATGCGTCTGTTGCTTATCAGGACGACGATGTGTCTGTCCGATGGGGGCGAGAGAGAAGAGTGTTTGGTTCATGTGTCTGCTGTTGAGTGTCAGTGTTTTGAGTAGACTGTGAGTGGCTATTTGATGTTGTTGGTGTATTGGAGGAGTGTGTGATGCGATGCTAAGTGGGCGGAAGTCAGGCCTCGTGGTGTAGCGGTTAGCACTCTGGACTCTGAATCCAGCGACCCGAGTTCGAGTCTCGGCGAGGCCTCGAGCTAAGCACTTTTAATCTCCACTACACAACACCACAAACACCGACCTCTCATCAACACAAAACAAATCTCCACACATCAATTTCCACATCAAACATGCACACATCAACCGTCAAACAACACCTCTATGCCCCTTGCCCACATGCAACTGTGTCGATGAATGCAGCCGACAAACTACCTCAACCAAGCCCGTCGCACATTCACCTTGTACTGACAACTGGACATTATTGGAAACAATCTAGTCGAACGAACACTCAGTTTGTTTCGTTGGTAACCGATTTGGCGTCTCTTCGATTCCTGAAACTGTGCACTCGCACACTCTGCCTAACCCAGCTTTTCCCTATCTTCTGGTTTTATTTTTTTTCCTTTTTTTTCCCTTTGGCGTATGTGATTTTTTTGATTTCGTTTCATTTTGGGATTTATTATACTGTTTTTTCTCTTACGTCATTGGCGTGATTTTTATTGGCGTGTTTTTAATTATTCCTCGCCGTGAAACACTCATTCCAGAGTTACTTCTCACTCTTCGTTCACCGGTTGGGACATTTATCCATCTGAAACTTATTGTATTATGGTCCTCCCAGTGATAGGGCTATGGATTATTTGCTCCACACTATGATACCTGAAGCCGGTCTCGTCTTGCACGCGGCCGGGATAGGTGTGTTCGTTTCGGCTGAAGACCTATTCCCAGTCAGTGTGTCTACCATTATATGATTGTGCGTCGGTGCCACACTGGCAGTATGGTCGCCAACCATACAGGTGTTTCGGGGTTCGATATCCGGCCGACTCAATCCTTTACCTCGCTAAGCCAGTAATAAGACTGGTAAAGAGGGAAGGTTGGGCATGAGGGTAGCAACCCCATCCCGTAAAAACAAATACCACTACTACAAAATTTTCAAACCTCTAGCTTGAAGCCCTATGTTCCCCTGGGAATGTAAAGAAATTTTAAAAAGTAGTAAATAATATATAAATTTTATTAATATCGTTTCATATGAAAGGTAGAAAATTTCAACTCAGGGATATTATTGAGCAGAAGAAGGAACATTTTTAAGCAGGTAGTTGTTTTCAACAACTCCTTGCTCAGTCTCTAAACTTGTAAAACTCAATGAACTTCTTAATACAAATCCATTAGCCTGTAAAAGCAAGTTAATATTACTTCAGAAACTGTGGCATATCTTACACGTACAAGATAAATACAATTGAATACAAAACGGGTCAACAAACAGATAAAATAAAATAATATTAATGAGGAATAACAATAAAAAATATTTCACAATGTTTAAAAGTGATAATTATTATTATTCAAATAAATGTACCTAAATATTGATTTATCTGATTTATCGATTTACCTCATTTTCTTTCCTAATGAAAAATAAAAACAATTTGAATGGACAAATCTTTACTTTGTTCTGATAACTGTTGGTATTGTTGACTGAATATTTGCAAGTTGATGTGAGACACTGTTTCCTTGATCCATACAATCGGTTTCTGATTCAGTTGAAAGTATTGATGAATCATTGTTGCTGTTATTATTATTATTATTACATGTGAGATTTAATTGTTTATTCAAACATAAATTACTGAAACACGATTTTTCTAGTTTTTTTGTACTTGATTTCCGTCTTTTTTCATATTGACAATGATAATAATAAGTTGTATTTACAGAGGGATTTTTACAATTCTGTCTTAAATTACGCCATTTCATTCGTCGATTTTGAAACCAAATTTTTACCTGAAATAAATTTTTTTTAACCAATTAAATGAAATAGAGATCAATAACTGTCATTTATTCAAAGATCTAAAGAAATTCTTGAAAATAACATCAGATAAGGTTGTTCAACAAATTCACCAATCAGAAATTTGAATATCTAATAAGTGATTGGTTAATTCAGTAGAACGACCTTATCGTAGCCAGTGTACCTAAGCCATTCTTAAAAGAATCATTTGTGATATTATAGAACTTTTAGTTTGCATTGATTCAACATTGCATAATACAGTTAAAGCAACATTCATAGACTATGATGAACAGCGTTATCAGTTATGCAATTCGGTCTGTAGTGATTAATTAGCATTAGGGTCCAGGATGAATACTTCGTCCTATTCGACACTCGTCATCTGGATGTATCCGCATTCCCTAACGAGTGATGGTGTACCCACTGTGATTGAGGAAGAAATGCGCATCATGGATTCCACTGCTAGTCACCATACAACAAATTACATCATGTTAACCCTCAGATACCATCGAAATTTCATGAGTTCATTTTAACAAATTAGCATTCAATATTAAATGTAAATTGAAAAAGGTATCATTATTCGGGTTATTTAGATTTCATCTGTTAAAGTTTGTCTTTTAAATGGAACAGAAGGCTTATTTCAACACAAATAGTTCATAAAGATGAAATGTTTCAGGGATTCTTTATGTTCTTGATATATCTAAAGGCTACAAGAGGTTTGAATGATTCACTTATATCAGAATAAAACTGAGGCACAATGGCAGGGCACATTTCCAAATGACTGGATTGTATAATGAATAAAAGACTGAACTCCAAGAATCACAGAATTTATAACATTGTTCAGTTGTTGTGGCGTTACATCACAGCGTGATACAAGTTGGAATTCACATGCAAATAAATTGCATCCTAGAGGCCGAATAGTCGGCAACCTGGCTTCCTAACCTAAGGGTCTTTCGTTCAACCCCCCCTCCTCACAATTAAATCAGTGCTGAAGTACCCCCAGATTATGACGAAGCAGTAACGCAGTTCTCTTTAATTTCTTTTGATAATGTATATGACGTTCATTCATGTAGAAATATATGCTAAAGTTAGTAAAAAATCTCAGATAAATGTAACTTTCTTTTATTCTGAACTGCATTATCCTTCATTTCGGCTTGAATAATTTCAAATTTGATGTGTTTTATACTTGAACGTCTTGTATTAAGACTTTTCACTGTAAAAATTCCCTTCTAATAAGAATTCACTTATTTCTACTCAATAATGTGAATCTGTAATGATTTTGAATGTGTGTATCTTCACCTCATGAATATCTTGGACCCCATGGTTTTCATGAATTTTGAATTCATCCAATGTATATTCACCGTAAATTTATACTACTGCCGTAGAGCGTGACAAATTTTATTTTATTCTAGTAATCTTTCCGGCATTTGTCTCTTCAAATCTTGCATTACAACACTTAAGGGAAGCATATTAAATTCGGGTAGATTCATTGAAGAAAATGGCTGTTCTCTGGATTTTACGAAGTAAGAAGTCTTGAGTAAAAGCGGGTCGGTGGTTCAGTGGTAGAACTATCGCCAAACCACACACGTGGACCTAGATTTGGTCCTCGGCCGACACGCTCCTAAACCTCGCTAAGCCGATAGTAAGTCAGGTAAAGAGGGAAGGTTGGGCGTGAAGCTAGTAACTTCCCACAGTATAATAAATACCACTGCTACGGAACCTTCAAAGCTCTAGTTTGAAGCCCTGTGTTCCAATCGGAATGTAAAGGAATAAAATAATAATAGTCGTCTTGAGTAAAAGATAATCAGAAATTTTTTAATAAATAAAAAGTGCTATCCTACACCTTGTATTTCATGTCAGAGCTTCCGCATAGTCCACTGGCTTGATACACATGTCATGGAAAGCACTTTCAACAGGTTACCAGAGACTACCATAGACAGCTACTTTCGCTGAACACTGGAGATCAGACGGCAGGCTGGAAAAGGTAGATAAGCCACAAGGAACACTGGCAGAAAACCAGCTAAGAGGTTACTGCTCAATAAATATGAGGAAAGAAATGGAGATGGTTTGGATGTACGCTAAGGAGTGACATGTTATACCAGTGAGGCTGTCAAGTGGAACCCGAACAGGAGTCGATGAGTTGATCCAAGGGTGACATAGAGGAGATGTGATAAGAAAAGGAGACGAAAGCTTGTGGGTAGTCATGCAGTCAGATAAAAAGTATGAGAGAATAGAGTGAATTATAAAGGTGCTACCTGAAACTCTACATTACACTGGGGATCCAAGGGGCAATTATTTAATAATACAAATGATAACAAGAGCAACGATACCACTTGTATAAACAGTGTAGAGGAAACTAAAAACAGACTATTAAGTGTAACGTGAAATCAGACCATTGGATTGTAAAAATACTGTTATAAAAATTTAAGGATCGAAAAGTTTGTTCACACAATCAAAAACGGTGAAATGCAATATCAGATTTCACCACTAACCGATGTCATTTAGTGAACCGTTGAAAACCAGAGATGGACGTTTCATCCTAGTGTTTCGGATTTTCTAGTACCAGGTTCCCATGACCCTACTAGGATTTGAACCTAGGGTCTCCAAGTTACCAGGTAAATATATATTGCTATTTAGTCACTGCATGATAGTCAAATGCCAAATGAATTCTAACTTTTGTCGATTCGATAATATTGTATAGTGAGAAAAAGGGCTCAGTAACCAAGTAAACTTATGCTCACTACCATTATCACAACCAGAAGTAGACTCAAGGAGGCTTTACAGCTTCATTTTTATGCAAGAATTCATTTCATAGTTTCTTATGAATGTAGATTATTAGCCTGTACTCTCAGGCAGTAGACTTCGAACTCCAAGCGATCTTTGTCCAATCCACTGGCGGTAGTTCAAGGTCTTATATATATATACATATATAGATAGATAGATAGATAGATAGATAGATAGATAGATAGATAGATAGATAGATAGACAGATAGATAGATAGATAGATAGATAGATAGATAGATAGATAGATAGATAGATAGATAGATAGATAGATAGATAGATAGATAGATAGATAGATAGATAGATAGATAGATAGATAGATAGATAGATAGATAGATAGATAGATAGATAGATAGATAGATAGATAGATAGATAGATAGATAGATAGATAGATAGATAGATAGATAGATAGATAGATAGATAGATAGATAGATAGATAGATAGATAGATAGATAGATAAAATAATAGATAATAGATAGATAGATAGATAGATAGATAGATAGATAGATAGATAGATAGATAGATAGATAGATAGATAGATAGATAGATAGATAGATAGATAGATAGATAGATAGATAGATAGATAGATAGATAGATAGATAGATAGATAGATAGATAGATAGATAGATAGATAGATAGATAGATAGATAGATAGATAGATAGATAGATAGATAGATAGATAGATAGATAGATAGATAGATAGATAGATAGATAGATAGATAGATAGATAGATAGATAGATAGATAGATAGATAGATAGATAGATAGATAGATAGATAGATAGATAGATAGATAGATAGATAGATAGATAGATAGATAGATAGATAGATAGATAGATAGATAGATAGATAGATAGATAGATAGATAGATAGATAGATAGATAGATAGATAGATAGATAGATAGATAGATAGATAGATAGATAGATAGATAGATAGATAGATAGATAGATAGATAGATAGATAGATAGATAGATAGATAGATAGATAGATAGATAGATAGATAGATAGATAGATAGATAGATAGATAGATAGATAGATAGATAGATAGATAGATAGATAGATAGATAGATAGATAGATAGATAGATAGATAGATAGATAGATAGATAGATAGATAGATAGATAGATAGATAGATAGATAGATAGATAGATAGATAGATAGATAGATAGATAGATAGATAGATAGATAGATAGATAGATAGATAGATAGATAGATAGATAGATAGATAGATAGATATACAAACGTGTACAAGATAACTTTCACGTTTAACAGAAAACATTAGCGAATGTACCAACCTGCTAGCATAATCCTAAGCTACAGTTTTTGTCATTAAGAAAATGTAGAAATCTAGTGTAACTGTGTGTATCGTGGCAGTAAATACTCAGATCACATTTGTGTATTTATATTTGTATAACTCTTCTCCTTCATGAAATATTTAGCGCCAACCCTTCATCTTAATGACATATTTGCAATACAAAATTTAACTTTGTTAAGATGAACACAAACCGTAAGACATACTGATTACAATGGATAAATTACAAGGATTATTTCTTAGGATCATTGCCAAAAAGCTGCATAGGTATTATTACATAATTAACCAAGAGTATATTGCCTTTTTTCCTATTTGTTTTAGGTAGCTGTGTGACTTGTATAGGTAAACATGTTGCACACTGTCCTCAACATTCGACTTGCAGCCTCGGCAACTGAAAATAATTAACAGCCCTGAGGTAAGTGTCACCTATAGCCTCGTACTAACTAACCAATTAATGAACCGTAACGAATGTTGGATGGTTGGGGCTAATCTGTAGGAATCACTGGACCTAGGGTTTCTGTTTACTGACACTCGTCAACAAGGAGACATCACTTATTTTGAGGTCGTAGATATATCTTGCTGACGTACGCCATCAGGTGCAAAAGTGATGCTCACATATTCCCGGAGACTGTTTCCAACCACCTGACATCACACCAAAGTACACAGTGATGATGAGTTAGGTTAGCTTGATCATCACACTCGACTGAGAGAATTCAGTCAACAGCGGTTATCCTCTAGTGACCAGTCGGTGAATTCCCATAGTAATCTACTGTGAATGTAAAGGTAACCCAACTGATATGACATGAACGAAAGGATAGATAAAGTTAAGCAAATGGCGGATTAAAAACGGAATAAGTTACATCCAATATGTAAAATTGAAAATGTTCATTGTATATTTGACTCACTTGAGCATCTCTTAGTCCTAAATGCTCAGCTAATAACTTTCTATCAGGTTTAGTAATATAAGCATGTTTACGAAAAGCAGATTCCAATCCTCGACGTTGTACATCTGAAAATACTGCTCTATGCTGCATATTACGTCTTTGTGTTACCAGTAAAGAATCCTGTGTCTGCAAATTCTTCGATAATGATGATTTAGACAACAAAGATTTTGATTCCTCTGCACATGTATTAAACAACTGAGGATCAGATGTTAATAGACTTGAATATTCATTAATGCAAGAATTTGATCGATTAGGGATAGTGTTACTGTTCAATTCTTGAATATTATTTTCACTATAAGTATCATTGGTAGACATGCTGTTCCAATCAGTTGTGGTCATTTCATTCATAGGATTCAATACATGACTGTTGTTATCGATTGATTGTGATGAATTCATATCGGAGGATAAGAGGTGAGTGAATAGCCATTGAGAGAACAAATGCGTCATTGGACTTACTTGTTGTAAGTATTCATTAATCCTCATCACTAATCCATTATAATCTGTATATATATCATTGAATGTGTTTACAGGTAAGTGTGAATAATCATTTCCTATTGTCGACACACTTCCAACAGGAAGACTTAGATTTACCGGTTTATTGTCACTAAGATTATCATCGTATGTGTTATAAAACGCGTTGGAATGGAAAGCGTTAGTGTGTGTAGACGATACAGATGACACAGATGTAGAAGAATTGTTGACTTCTTGACGTAAATTATTTTGACTAGTTACACATGGAATGCTAGAAGTATTTTTAGGTTGATTTGCACCGTCTGTCGTGAAAATTTCACTTCGGTGAACAGGATTCATGTCTGTAAAGGAAATGAAAAAAATTAGATAGAGCAGAAATCAATTCTGCTTTGGTTTATGGTGGCAGTGGCAGTGGAATCCAAGAAATATATCTCATCTTTTTTGGGACTGTTTAACTTGATGTCTTATCCAGTGTTTCCACTAAGCGACAGGGGCACAGGAGCCACTTCTTGTCCAACAGGTTTCTTTTTCATTCCTCTGAGTTTCGTTGTTGAAACATACGACTTGAAGCTTGAGCTCTGAAATTTCAGTAGAAATGTTTTTTAAGGGGTGGGGTTACTAGTCTCACGCCCAACTTTCCCTTTTTGCTAGACTTACTACTGGTTAGTCGACCTTTAGGAGTGCATTGACAGGGTTAGGGTAGCAGTTATTCTTTGTTGAAATTATTATTTTGTATTTCCCATTCGATTAATTTTGTAAGAGTGAAATACTCAGTCTTTGTTGAGATATTGGCTCCCACAAAATCAAGTAACGGTAAATTGAACACATTAACTTCAACAAATTAGTTCTACTCCACTGGTTCGCTTTTATATACATGTTGATATTAATGAATAATATAAGCGTTATTCAGGTTAAGCATAACTGGAATATTTATTTAACTTGTATGTAATTTTTGAAGATTTAAGTGATAAGATGCTTAATCAGCTTGTGTGTCATTATACAACAGTTATTAAGCCATCAGCATAGAGCTCTGATATTTATCACTGTGTTCATTTCTCAACTGACCGTAGCATATATTATAACCACTATCATAGCTATTGTTT